GCGGCTTGATGGAATAGATTGATGGGCCCCCGCACTCCACTCGGCTTCGTCACCTAGAACACGCGCAAGCTTCGTCGAAGAGCTCATCGCCAGCCGGTAGGGCGAGCCAGCAGTGCTGGGTCGCTTGCTCCTCGGTGACGGTGTCGAACGCTTTTCATGGGGATTGTCGCTGCCGAGTGTGGGACTGTCTTCAAAGCGGACGCGAGCGCCTGCCTCAAAGTCATAATGGTGGTGACTAGAAAGAGCGCTCGTATCAGATGGACGACGTTCTATGGCTCCACAACCGGCGCTGCTGCCGCTTCTGCTTCTGAAGCTGCCGCTGCTGCTGCTAGCCGGAGAGAAGAAGCTGGCGTCTGCGACGCGAGCGCGTTCGCTGTAATGACGAGAAGCCCAGGAATCTTCCAATGCCGAAGCAGGCGTTCTTTGCAAGGGCGAGGTGTGCTCAGCAGTCGACGTTCGACTTCTGTAAGAGGGCAGAGCGCTATGACCCATGTCGTGCCCATCGTGGCCTTGCTCACGGGTTATACGGTAGACCCGCCCATCGCCAAGGTCTTCTGCAGACACAGCAGACCCGGCGGAGCTGATGCTATGGCGGCTGCGGGCGCGAGGCTTGGTTTCCGGGACTCGCTTGACTGGCTTCTCCAATGAGAACTCAGCGGCCAAGGCATGAGCCCTTCTGGCTTTCTCCGACGCCTTTTGCGCCTTTTCGTCGGAAGCGCGCAGCGACGCCTCCCACTCGCTCTCTCCCGGCAATTTCTTGGGTGCTGGAACCGGTGTAGCTTCCTCATCCTCACGGGGGCGTCGACGAAAAAGGTTCCGAAGAGTACCGGAAGAGCGGTGTCGGGCAGGAACGTCTCTCGGAGGCTCAGCCAGGGTGGTTGAAGAATACTGGATGGCAAGCGCTGCTGACGTTGGCGGTGGCGCAGACTCCTTGACCGGCTTCGCTGCGGCTGCATGCGCGTCGTTCAAGTGCGCTTGCCTAGAACCAGCGAGGCTGTCGGCCTTGCCGCGCATCTTCAACAGTCCTCCACCACGAGTCCGACTCGCAGGGCGCTCATCACCGACGTCCGGCAAGAAGCTACGATCGTTGAGTCCGTCAGCCTGGTCCGCAACATTTGCTCCCGTTAACATTAGCTGGTGCATTGCATTGGACGATCGACTGCGACTGACGGCGAGCGCGCTTACACTTCGAGGGCGGCTTCTTATCGAAGCAGCCTTTTGATTTGACTCGGATTCTGCGTCGTCTGATGCCTCGTCCAGCTGCACCTCATTCTTGAGCTTCGAACCAGCCCATTGACCTCCCGAGTGAACAGATGGCAGAAGGGACACGCGACCTGGCGCAAAATGAACGTGATTTTCTTGACTTGATGTATCAATCTGCATAGGCTCAAAGGTGCTGATGAGACTGGAACACGGCGAGTCCGCGTAAGAAGGCACCTCGTGACCGTTGGTCCCAAAGAATTGAGGCTGTGCAGCATTCGTCGTGTTGGTACTCTCAGCCGCCTTGCCCTTCCCCTTGAGCTGCTCTGGCGAGGTGTGAGGCGGTGGATGCTCCGACTGAGTTGGCAGGCGGCTGGATCCCTCTTGCTCGTCGATCGTACGACTCCTAGACGCCTCGGCGCTTCTGACGGATGCGAAGGCAGATCTTTCGAGGCTGGATGCTCGGGGCATGATCTGTGGATTGGAGCTTAATATTGGAGAAGTCGGACCGACTACAGGCGGATGGAGCGTCTGCACCTCCATGATGATGGCTCACTCGAGGACTTGACCCAAGGGTTCCCGCCTCACCTGCGGCACACAGCACACAGGGCGCCGTGAGTATTAGCAAGCTCGCTCAAATGTCCCACAGCGCCGTAGCTTGATCAGGAGGTGACCAAGACGAAGGAGGAAGCGATGAGTGTAGAGAAGAGGGAACGATCGAGGGCAGGCCCATCAGTGAATCCTTGAGATATTGTGGCAAAGGATGGACCAGCGCGCCAATATGGAAAGTGCTCTGATGGGGTCGCACTGTTTGAGGTGCGAAGCAGCCTCGGGTGGCTGTACTCAAGACTCACGACTATCCTTGGCAGGCAGGAACTCCCATGCAGGGGATT